TGTGCTGTTACAGGTGACCTTTTTACTGGATAGCTCGTGTTTTGGGTTTATCTCAGCAGAAATGTTCCTCTTTTTATGTACACATGCAACCGTGTCGGCTCACATATATTCAGTTACTTGGTGGATTTCCATGATGGTGGCAGGAAACAAAGAATGACCAGAGTGGAAAGTCTCTGTAGGGAAGCAACGAGCAGCTGAGCCTCATCATCAGTGTGGCCAGCAGCGATCCCACTGTTGGGCCTCTTTGAGTCTGAGAGACGAGCGGGGATCACTGAGGGCCGGCACCTCTTACAGAAGCCCCACTGATCCCTTCTAGCATAAAAGACAATCAATAAGACGTGTTTTTCTTCATCTTGTTCTTCTGTTTGCGTTTAAAGAAACCCCCCTGCCTGCAGGGCTTTGTTCACCTTTCCTCATCCCTTCATCCCAAACCATTCGTTCTCAGATGTGCATCTTTAGCCTTTCCCGGTTAAATCTATTCCATACTCTCATCTCAATCATTTTATACATTAATTATTCAGGCCCTTTCAGCCTATGAATATAAATCCATTATGTCTGCCCTGCTACACTCTGCTTCAATTAAGAGACTGGGGATGAAATTATACGGAGGGATCACCAGATTAAAGGATTCATGAGACTTCACATCACTTTAAAATATTTATGCCAGCCATCCAATTGATAGATAATCATAGATGTAATTACTTACAGCTATATGATTATATATGTGTCAAACATCATATAGGACGTTTACAAAACAAGGTTCATATTGACAACCATGGTTGTCAATCATTGTCTCATATTGTCTCATATTGTCTCACTCATGTGACTGAATGCAGCTGGAACATGGAACCACTGAAATCAGTGGCTATGGAAGAGCCAGCCATAAGAGTCTGTCTGCCATGATCGTCCTCCTGCTGGAACAGCCCGTTCTCACTCCTGAGGCGTAACATCCTGACGATTTGTTACGTCCTGCGGCGAAAGGAACGTGAAAGGCGACCTTTGGCATTCTTAAGCTGCGTGCCGGGTTGTGGGTGAAATACAGTAGCACAAATACACTGGCACAAACAAGAGGCCACACATTACTCCAGTTTTGGCTTCTCTTCATTGGTTGCCAGTAAATTTTAGGGTTCGTTTTAAAATTTTAGTTGTAACTGTTAGAGCTCTGCACGGTGAAGCTCCCCAGTATATGTCTGACCTGTTGAAACCTCATGCTTCATCCCGAGCACTTAGGTCGTCAGGTCAGAGGTTACTGTTGGTCCCACGTGGGGATCGGGCTTTTCAGGCCCCTAGGCCGTGGAACTCCCTGCTGTTGTCTTTACTCCATTGACTGCTTTAAAAAGCAGCTGAAGACATTTTTATACAAATGAACTTTTAATCATATTTTTTACTGTTTCATATTATTTTATTTGTATTTCTGGTTTTATTGTGAAGCACTTGTGCTATATAAATACATTTTTATTTACTTCAGAATGACGGTCCCGCAGTAAAACACGTTCCAGCCATGTATTCCAGGCCTAACAGGGCTCTAGAGTGCGACCAAATTTTTCAGTGGTGCGACTAAAACAAAATATTTGGTTGCACCTGTGCGACCAACTGTTTGGGTAGCGAAAAAAAAAAAATTCTGCAACCTTCCCTGTGGTCAACAACAGACACACATTTTGCCCCTATCGTGGACTAAACCAATCAGAGATAGTCAGGGGCGGGACCTCTCTGATTGGCCGTGGTCCAGTTGAAAGTGCAGGTGGAAGTGGGAGGTGAGTAGCTTGAATAAAGCGATATCAATTCATTAAATCCTGAATCGACTTTTAAATATAACTGTGTTTTGCCAGAAACGCCAGATTCTCAGATTAAAGCTCACAAAACCATTTCAACAACAACCAAACAGCAGATGAGAGCAGGTACACGGACTCCACACAAAGACGTAAACACAGACCGACGCATCAGAATCAGCTTTGTCTTTCTCGGCTTTCTCACCCGACGGCCCGCAGACGGACACGCTGTCGAGTCGCGTCCTGAGGTCCGGTCCGCGCTGTGATTACGTCTTTTTGCGCTGATTCTGAGCTGCAGGTTTTGTCTCTCCAACCAAAATTCACCGAGCCAGCAGCAAAAGAAGCAGCAAACTGCGCTTCACATTTGATCAATGCGTCATGAATTTTGCTGTTTTGCTTCCACGACTATTAAAATCACACTCCATGCACAGCTAGCTCTCTCTCTCTCTCTCTCGTACTTCAAGAACAGTTTCCGTCTCCAATCTCTGTTTTCTGTATTATTCATTGGCTTATTACCCACCAGTCTACCGTCTGTTTACAGCGCTGTGGCTGCTGTCTGTTTTCTTTTTCACTTAAATGACCTCGGACAAGAAAGCCTGTTTTTTCTGTTGTTCAATACTGAAGAAATTTAAACTTTATATGCAGAACATTGTAGAATATTTTTAAGGTTATCTGCTATAAAAAGCCAGACCAGGAAAATCTCCTTCATGTTTTTCTGTTTTATTCTCAGTTACTTTCACACAAAGGCCTCTGCTGTGATGTTCACAATTCTGATGAAGTCAGTACTGATAAATGATCAGAATTATAATATTTCTGACTGTCTGAGGCTAAGTTGAATCGAATCGGGACTTTGAAAACCGGAATCGAATGGATTATAGAAATCAGTGATGATACCCAGCCCTAGTGAGCAGCCTAGGCACGACAGAAGTGGATGTAGCTGTAATAGGAAAAGAACTATTGCTAACTTTTCTGTTAAGGCCTGATCCTTCTGAAATTCATAGCCAGTGCTCTGACACGGTGTCATCAATCTTTGAATGCTGAAAAAGCACAGTGTATCCAGAAAAACACATTATATTATATAAATTATTATAAAATTTGTGTGCGCCTAACTTTTGTGCCGGTACGCCTAACTTTTTAAAGTTAGGCGTACCGGTACGCCCATGGCAAAAAGTTAGTCTAGAGCCCTGCCTAACCATAACCTTATCCCTAACCTTAACCAGCACTTTAATGACGTGAAACAGTGTTTTACAAAAACATTTGAGGAAGATGAATGAACATGTGTGGATTGATTCCAAACAGTTCTCATGTTTCCTCATTTTTCCGATCTCGTCATTTAGGAACGTGTTGGGCGCCCGGAAGCATGACATGTTGACGATTTGTCACCTAGTGTAAAATATTACGCCTCGGGAGTGTGTTGGCTGGAAATATTACATATACACAAATCTGTTCTCAAACCTGTCAAATGTAGGCAGGCAGAACGCGTCCACATCAGCATCAGCGCTGGTAGATGCAACTCTTGCAGCCCGGTCGTTTGAAACTGGGCCACAAGAGTTGAGGCCTGGGTGTGAAATTGATGGTTTTCAGGGTTTTTTATCTTTTTTTTTAATATTGTTATTTTTTAAATCGTTTTTATCGTTAACTCGCTTTCCCTGCGTCCTGCGTGCTATCCAGCTGGAGGAAGTCCAGTTTAAAATGCACCCTAGCCATAGATGGACACACCTGGTCAGCACTGTGGGTCGTGCAAAGTTCTATGAGACAATATTTCAGTATTACTGTAACTTTAAACCAGTACTCAGTGTTTAGAAAGCAAAGAATTGTCCATTTATTCATGCAATTAGCTAATCATGGCGTGAAAATGCTTGCAGATACAGGCTACTTATTGCCAGTAACAGAAATGTGACGCTACAGTGGGCACAGACTCGCCACTACCAAATGAAAGGTGTAGTTTGGTCTGATGAGTCTACATTTCTGCTGAAGCAGCAGATGGTAGACTCACAATTTGGCATCAAAAGCATGAATCCAAGGGGCCAACGTGTCTTCGTCAACAGTCCAAGCCTCTCCTGGCGGTGTAATGGTGTGGGAAATGTTTGCTTGGCACACTGGTGGGCCATTAATAGCAGAAACCAAAGTGTGAGCAACACTACGGACTGTGTGTAGCTGTCTGTGGACGTGGTTTAGCATCTTTTAATGCTGCCTTTCAGCAGGATAACACATCGTGTCACAAAGCAAAAGTTATCTGCTCTCACTGTCTCCTCTGTCACCATTATGGACCCAGCACAGCGCCTCTGACATGCACTAGAATAAGAGAGCACTAGCATGACTGTGGCTCTACAGGAACAGTGTAATCATGTCAGCATGAAGCAGAATCTGAAAAGAAGACGCCAACATTTTCTAAATGTGAGGGTCTGTTGACACAGGGCTGCATGGTCTGTTAAGGCTGCTGCAACTACAGCAGCACTGCACCATGTATGATATCCATGTATGATACTGGAGACCTGACAGACTGTTCACTTTCAGCCATGCATGTGTGTGTTGTCACTTTGTATACATAGATTACACAGTTTGTCTGAATAAGTGTAACAACGGAGAAAGTGCTGAAAAGGACAGAAGCACACTGTTTCTGTCCCGTGAGGCCACAGCTCTGGTCATTCATGTTTGTCAGAAGCTGTTTCTTGTCCTGCTCCCAGGCTCAGTATTCCTCAGTTTATAATAAACTGCAGTGAAAGCCCGTGCATGTTGATTGGTACAAAAAAAGAGATTCTTAGAACCCAAGAACCCCATCTGTCACTAACACAGCTGAGGACCCTCAGATCAACTTAAATGGACAAAACATACGTAGCAACTTTCCTTTCTATAACACACATCAGTCCTTTAGTCCAAAAATGAACCTTTCAGCAACGCGTACACCAACATATATACAGGGGGAAAAGACACCAAAGCCCCATCTAGCTTATCAAGCATGGTGGAGGAGTCATCATTGTTTGGGGTCACTTTGCTAACTCAGGCTTACAGTTATTGAGTAACCAACTAGTTCACTCACAAGTTCATACAAAATAATAATAATTTATTATATATGTTCAGGGCTATGATCCATGCAGTGACTGCAAAAAAAGGGCATCCACAGTAGATCGGATGAAAATCAAAGATTGGTCGTGTCACGGTTCTGACCGTAGCCCTGAGCTGCAGTGGCCTGAGAAGAGCTATTCCAAATTCACTTTAGCAGTCACTCACCAGGAATATCCTCTCCAGCTGGTCTTGGATGTCCTTCATCCCAGGAAATGCAGCCACTCCTTGGATCATCTCAATGAAAATGCAGCCCACTCCCCTGGAGGAGAAAATAACACTAATTATAAATCCTGTATTTCTGTATGTCCTTAAGCCTTTCACAGGTGCCGCCTAAAATAAAAACACATTGGAATAAAGCATCACTGGAAAATGTTGTATTTGACCGGTCCGTCCTTTGTTCACATCTAATTACAGTCTGCAAAACACTAACTGTTTAATCACCCCGACAAGCCTCACAGTGAAAGTCATTCTGAGGCTGTATTGATTTCTTTTCTTCCAGAGGGCTGTTAGACTGTGAATGTAGGTTGGAAATCTTAAAATATCAAGACCACTTCAGTATGGAGGGAGAACGGCCAAGGTGCGTGTGTGTGAGTGTGTGTGAGTGCGTGTGTGTGAGAGTGTGTGAGTGCGTGTGTGTGAGAGTGTGTGTGTGAGAGTGTGTGAGAGTGTGTGTGAGAGTGTGTGTGTCTGTGCTGTCGATGCTCATTTGTCAAAGAGCTATTTTTCTGACAGATTCGCTTCGTGGCTCAGTGCACACTCCTTCTCAATGCAAGGAGAGAGAGAGAGAGAGATTACCTGAAATTCATCCCTCAAAAACTTCTCCATTCCTTCCATTTTACGGAATGAAAATGCTTCATCTCCATGACAGAGCTATAACCTCAGCATCCAGTATTTCTGCTGGAGCGTAGAGAACTATTCTGCTGCCTGAGGTGCATATGTGATACGGGCAAAGGTCAGCTTAAAGAAAAAAGAATAACACAAAACAATTTTCATCTGTGTAGTTATACCTTCCTCTCAGTTTGATTCATTCCTGTCATTTTGTCTGAAATTGGATGATGTTGTCAACAAAGGCCTGACAGGTTATTAGCTCTAAAGTTCTGGCAAAGTTACTGACCCTCCAGCTAGAAATGATGTCTCCATTCTTCACACAGGTAACAGGAAATAGGCTGCTAAGGAAAATGTGATTCGATCACGTTATTTATTGGTTTTATTGAGGAAACGCTGTCAAGGTACAAAAATGCTAATAATGAATGCATACAAGTCAAGAACAACAACACTGAGCCCTGTGAGTATCAGGACCTTCATCGGGGATAGTCTTTAAGGATATACATAAAACCTGTTGTGACAATATCAGCTTTGTGCACTTTGCTAAATAATGCCCACTATTAGAAACTGAAGCCCACTCTTACCAGTTCTCAATGTAAACCTGCATAATGTTTCCTTTAGCCTTCTAAATCAGGTTTGTGTCTGTCACGCCATCAGGAGTTTGTAATATTTTTCACCCTGGAACTGGAAGACCAGTAACGTATTTCTCGACCATAAGGTGCACCAGATTTTAAGGCGCAGGTAAACAAAACAGTCAGATAAGTCACATTTTACTCAGCTCATTCTTCTTGCTTCCTCCACTTCTGTACCATTGATTCATTAATGTTGAATTCTCTGGCAGTTGCTCTGTTCCCATGTTGTTGCAGTATATTAATGACTAACCTCGTATTGTGGATGGATTATCTCAGTTGTTCTCCTGACTGAAGTTTGGTCCGTTAACAGCATCCTGCCATGCGATTGCATTTGTCTCTAACCATCAGGAACGTTCACGTTAACTTTTATCGAGTGGAAAAAACTCAGCTTTCATCCTCCAGCTTCACTGTTTATGTTATGCTAACATAGCTGTGTAGCTAGTGATCACGTAGCACATCCTTATATAGCAGCTAGCCCAACTTCAGTAACCCTACAAACGTCACTGCTGTTTAGTTTTCTGTCTTCATTTATGTTGGAAGTGACAGCAGAGCTGTACGTTTGAATCTTTTCAGAAGTCTCTCAGTCAGAACATGCTATAGCTGTGTCCCAAAACGTCGGCTGCATCCTCTGGAGGCCGCATTTGAAGGCCGATTACGTCACAGCCAGGCGACAAAGGCTGTTCCAATGCGTCGACTCCTTCAAATGCGGCCGACAAATGCGTCTTTCATTTCCCCGAATTTGAAGGATGGCTCGGGTGTGTCCTTCTTGGCACACCATATCCCAGAATTCATAGCGCAGCCCAGTTTCCAACAATGGCGGCCACTACTAAGTTTTAATATTACTCTTATTAATCTTCCTGGGTCACAAAATAAACTTTTAACATATTTTCAGGCGAGAAAGTAGCTGCGTAAACTTCAAATATCTGCTTGGTTATCAAGACACCACATATTTGCAAAAGTGCGCTGACGTTTTGGAGACGTCTGTTATCCACCAGCTCGATAGCTAGCCGGGGGGTACAACGGTTACTCGACCCGGCGAGAGGAGCAGACTCCCGGCTTCATCGTTTTCAGACCCCCGCAACTCCACCGAGACAGCGGTGATGCTAATCTGAAGGCTAGACCGTCCCATTTCACAGCCTCGCGGTAGACTGTGAAGGCTGAGTCCTCCGAAGGATGCAGCCTACGTTTTGGGACACAGCTTAGATCATGCTTAGGTGGAAACCAGCGAGCTAACCTCCTGCTAACTTCTAACTCCGTTCAATTTAATAAATTCTGTTTTCATGGATGCCTGGATGTGAAACTTCATAGTTACACCCGATAAAGCAGCAACGTTGATAATTTTATTAAAGATTAAAGAATTTAAACAGTTTGTAACTCTCAGTGATGCCGCAGTGTTCGTTTGACTTTGGGACCTGAGCCGACGGAGTTTAGGACCCAGATTACTCCGCGAGGCTCCGTAATGCTCCGATAATCCATCAAGCAGTGCGGCTTCATAGTTTACCAAAGTCGTACCAAAACATTTTTGACAGATTTTTGAGCACCATGTACCACATAAAATCGGTTCGAGGTCAGTGAGCACAACCAGAATTCATGCATAAGGCGCACTGCCGATTTTTGAGATTAAAGGATTTTATGTGCACCTTATAGTGTGGAAGATACGGTACAGTCATTTCCTTTCACAGTTTTTTATGTAGAACAAGTGGTGCAGGCATGCAACTGACTCTTTATACAAAGTGTAACACTGCCTTTATGCTATAAATATCTACATAAGGTAAGATACACTTTTATTAGTCCCACAGGTGGGAAATGTGCTTGGTCACAGCAGAAAGTGGACAGTACAAATTAAGAGCAGCAAAAATGAAGAAAAATACATACATGCGTTTACACGTATGTGTATGTCGAAACACGGCGCCTCCCTCTTCTTGATTCTGTTTCCGCATTTATTTTCGTCTGACTATGAGTCTGCAGTGTGGTGTTTTATCACTGCTGTTACTGTAATTAGACAGTGTTAGAGGTGCTGTGACTGGAGCTGTAGTTAAATCAGTCACTGGAGTGGACTGCACCCTTTGAGTTATAGTACACAGTAAATTAGCCTCAGTAAATATTGGGCTCTTTATTCAAAGACAGTAAATCAACAGATATGCCTGAGAGGTGATTCATGATGTGACGGGAAAGCAGACAAACAAATACGTCAAGCGTCGCACTGCAAGACACATTTCCACAGCCTGGATTTTGGGTTGGATGGACTTCATTGATCCTGAGGTAGAATTTCATTTCATTTCAAGTACATACATGACAAACATTAGCTGGTTTAGATTTAAAACAACAGCTAGGCTTCTGTAATATATTTCAATATTCAATAGTACACACTCACACACCCACACTCATATATATTAGCTATGTCACTAAATATAAATTAGAACAAATCGTCATCTTTAACTGCGATGGTTCTGGTATGATATAAAGGGGGCGCCCTCAGAGTGAAATGAATAACGGTGACTGAGCTCGTTCAATTCGGCCCTCGCCTGTTTTTGTGATTTTAAATAGACGTTTTCAGGAGTAACTTGTCATTGGTAACGGCCCATAACCTTGAAGAACTGTCTCTGGCTGACCAGTTTTCATATGCAGTCAGTGTTGACATCAAAATTATTATTTTTTTCATCCACCATCATGTGCAAGTCCTTCAAATGGCCTGTGGGCACAGCTATTTCTTTGATTAAAGTAGGTGCTGTTATAGGAGAGTTTCAGTAAAAGTGAAAAGAAATCTTTTTGTCACAGAGTCAATGAGGCACAAGTACAAGTCCTCGCACAGTCTCCTCCTTCAGGCCCACCTCATGGCCCTGAAGGAGGCCCACAGCCACCTGCTGAGATGCAAACCTGGCTATGAACCCTGGATCATAAAATATAGAGCCAAAGCCCAACGTGTGTTAGAATGTGGGGCTGCATACAGCTCATGAGAAATCAGCAAAGCTAAGCACAGCCTTATTATCCTCTAGGTCGGGTAACATCGAGGTGACAGGAAGGGCCAGGAAGCTCACTATGCAGCCTACTCACATGCTGCAGCATGTGTAAAGTTACTGAAAGTAAATGTCTTTTAATAATATACACCCTGTTTATATCCTGATACAAGCAAAAAATGATTGAATGTAAAAGGTTGTGTAAGAAGTTTCTTTTTTATTTTTAACAAAAGCCAAAGATCTCTGATCACGCTGTTTACCTGTACTGTGCTGCTAAGCCTTCTGGCATGAAACTGCACAGAAAAAAGTCACCTCTAACAGATCCATCACTCTGACATTTGTCTCGAACAAACATACTGTGCTGCACTTGCATCCTGCTTTTAAGTTCAGAGACTTTCTGAAGCCTCTGTTCTCTGTCTAACACTCAAAATTCTCTCTCTCTGGACACTTGGTACAAACACAGGCCAGTCACACATTCATTTGTGTGTGTTGCACTTTGTTAGCTAGCAGGTGCTGTGGAAATGCAACTGGCTCTTTGGCTTGACATGTGCACAGGGTGCACGTCTCTATCCACAACTACATCTACAAGTTTATTAAGGCCATAAAGTATTTTGCAGCCTGAGTGGAAATTGTGAAAGCAAGTTGCAATTAAGCATGCTCCTTTGCATCATAGCCTCAAACTCTTTCACAGCTAATTAGGAAAGCACAGGGGACTACAATCATTTAACACACTGGGAACTGGAGCCTTGGCCAAACACATGTCACTGCAAACGATGATGAGCTTACTTATCAAGAAGACTCTGTATCTGAAATGTTCAGGTGGAAACATTGGAAACATTCCAGGATATTAAACTATAGTGTATCAATACTTTGCTTTACTTTCAAACACTGGAAGATTTCTGTGTTTTTTAAGATAAACGGATAAACAAACATCACGAGCAGCCTCGTCCTCTCAGATGGAGATGGCTTGTAGTGCACCATGAGATAACTAAACCACGGTCACAGTTGACTGATTATATGTGACTTTGCATGACTGGTATCCGTGTGTGTGTGTGTGTGTGTGTGTGTGTGTGTGTGTGTGTGTGTGTGTGTGTGTGTGTGAAAGAGAGACAGAGAGAACTGCTGCTCTGTGAAGTGCTTAGGAGCTAAGGAAGGTAACAATAGAGCCATTCCTCGCCCGCTCTTCATCACATCCTCACTCCTCACAGCCTCTCAGCTACAGCAACTCATGATGGATGCTTCTTCTGGCAGGAAGACAGATCTGGACAACCTTTTGGTCCTTCAAGGAGTGGTTCTTCACGGATGACTGCTTTCTAAGTGACCGGAGGTGAGTGTATGCGAGCGTGGCACAGAGTGAGTCTCATTGGAATAGAAGACCCAGTGGATTTGCCCACCTTCAAACGCCCTTGAAACTGACACACTAGCGTGCTATGTTTCGGACCCCTACACTCTGGCTGCTCTTTAATTGGATGCTGCAAAATGGGGTTCTTGGGATTTCCCTGCTGACTGTGTGTCCAGACAGAGGGGGTCACCGCGGCTCACCTAAGACCAGGTCCACAATGGGACAGCCTACAGCTCTCTTGTTCCTCACATTCCAACATGCAACATGCTTTTTCACCCCTAAAACCGAGTGCAGACATTATATACAGAAATGTTGTCATATTCCTCAAAAATAACCCATTAAAATAACATTAATGATGCTAAGCTGACTTATACTTGCTGGTAACTCTGAGAAGCAGTTGGGCTTTTGTGAGAGTAGGTGTTATAATCTAGGACATAAGTAAAAGTAAAACAAAGCCTTTTCCCTAAAGAAAAAATGCAAATGTCAACTGTACATTGGAGGGCCTGTATCATCTGAGTTTTTTCAAAGCAGCAGTCTCTGGGGCTGAAAAACGAAGCCAAATGTGTCATCAACTCTGCAACAAAGACGTTTACAGTCTGGTCCAAAATGGTTCTGCTCATTACAACGATAGAAAAAGTCGATTTAAATGAAAGAAGAATAACTGGACTTGTTCTTGAAACCACAGCAACCATTGATGCAAGTTTATGTCAGTTTTGCATTTGATTCATATTTCACATCCAAAAGGACGGACGTCTTTAAAAAGTAACTGACAAATTACAACCTGGTAGCTACCATCAAACGTGCTGACATTCTGTACCTTAGTTAAACAAGGCAGTTCAAACCGTCTTTAACAAAGACTGAGGAGAAAGTCGAGAAAAAAACTGCTGCAGAAAATATTTCAGCCCTGCTACAGTTTTTCTCACTGTGGGATAGCGAGTCTGCTCAGGCTCGAGACGTGAAGAGTTCGATTATTACATTTCAGTTGTTTCATTCACATCTGCAGCAGTTCTGTCAGTGTATAAAGTAAATGTGTGTGTCTCACCAGCAACTGATCCAAACTGGGAGTGTGGATGCTGGGGAGTCATGAAAACAAAACTGCACTGAAGGGAGCATGGCCTCGGGTTAGGATAAGCCACCAGTAAGAGTGTTTTAATTGGTTTTTGTCTGCTTCATGAATTGGGTTCCCTGATCTATATCTTGAAGGTTTCTATGTGAATAAATCACGGATAAATTACACACACGGGGTTAGATGTTAGGAGTACCCACCACATGTCCAGGCAGGTGGAGTAGTCTGTGGATCCCAGCAGGACATCTGGAGGCCGGTACCACAGGGTCACCACCTCGTTGGAGTAGGTATGGCTGGGGACCGACTTGGCCCTGGCCAGGCCTGGGGGGGAAGCAACAAAACAAGTCAGTCTGAGAAAGCATTATCATTGAGTGACCTTCAGCAAAACAAAGCATACAGCTGGAGCCAGCAGTCACACTCCCTGCAGCTGCTGACATGTGTTATACAGACAGGAAGATATAGAGTTTGCAATAAAAGTCAAGATTTCAAGGTCCTGTGTGGAGAAAGATCGTCATCAAACCAACTTAAACAAGAGAAGTAAGAAAATGAAAGATTAGAGAATGAGTTTTCAACATGTGACCATAGGACAACAATTTGGTAAACAGGAAGTAATAAGAGGAATTTTACACCACCAGTAGTACGTTGTACCTGAATGTGCAGATGAATATCACTACATTAATTACAAGCAGTGGCTTTTTTTCATTCCTTGATGGACTTACTGGTCCACAGTCAAACAGGACACCGTGCCCCATCCAAATGAAACAACTGCTCAGGAACTTGACAAAGAGCCTCCAAACCCTCAAAGTCCAAGACAAGATTGATATAGGACACTGATCAGGATGCACCAGACGTCCAATCGATCACTAAAGCGCCGTCACAAAACCCACAGGACCATTTTTTACCAACAAATGTTGAGGCAATATTTTAGAGAGAAGAAGTTAATTGTAGATCATTAATGTTTAATGTTTCCCTAATGAAGATCTTGAAGGCTGAAACATTGCCTCATTAAAATCTTGTGAGCTTCCAATTCCCTTTGCTTCCTGTAGACTCACTGAAGCCATCATACAAACAGCTCCTCTTGTCAGACCTGTCTCTACTCTGACTTCTGTACATTCAGCTGTGACAAACCCCAGATTGCCTTTTCAAATAGAAATTATGATGGACGACCTTTGACGTTTCACCAAGAAACATGAATATCAGTCATATGAACTCTTTTGTCCTGTGAATCACACATGATCATGTACGTTTGGCACCAGGCTATGGTTAAACACGAAAAGTACTACATTTTAAAAAAGGGGATTTAGGAATAGATGCACAAGTTTCTCCAGTTTAGCTCAAAGGTCCCTTTCTAACATTTATCTATGCAGCGACACAAACCCAGTCCTCACATGGCGGCTAATGCTAGAGTGCAGATGCAGTGAGCTTTAATGAGGCTGATGGCATTACCTCTTTGTCTCATCCCAAGTGGTCTGAGAGCTTAATTAAAGCATTTAGCTTAGTAAAATAAAGGACTTCCTGCCCTGCTGTTAGTCCCCTGTGTGTGGGAGGAAGCAGGGCAGAGGGGAGAGTAAATGAGAGCAGGAAGGGGGGTATTTAACATTTCCTTGTGTCAGAACACCCACAGGAGAAAGGAGTTTCAGCTGACATTCATCGTGGCCAAGCTCTATAATTTCCACACACTGATCTAACACAGGATAGACAGCATCGGGCTGCTCACACTGAGAGGCTATCATATCCACTGCAGGAATCCTGCGTATGTGTGTACGTGGGGGGCGGCGTCGTGGAGGCGTGAATCGAGATAATATCTACTCATCGTAAGAGAAGGTGCAGTAGTAGGAGGATGACCTGTTTGTAACGCGGAGCAGGAACAAAAGAAAACCCAACTGTTTGGTTTCCTACAGTTCCCAGCATGCCTGTCATCAATCTGAAACAAAACAACATGGGGTAAACCCGGTGCGGGTTCTGTATGGGTTAAGTAATGCAGCTGCAGCTGTACAGAAGCTTTGTCAGCATTATTGGGAAACTTTGATCTGTGACAGCTGTTTTCTTGCAGGGCACCTTCTGTTCTTATAGATTAATGAAGCTATCACAAAACTGCAGTTCTTCTCATGGCCACCTGAGGCTGGCTACAGACATGAGTGGACTGTTTAAAGCCTGGCTGGCGTCTGATGGTCAGATATGCTGCTTTGCCTGTGTTTCACCTCCCACTGTGTGACCTCGTCTGGGAGGCACTGGGTAGCTCTGGGTATGGGAGTAGTGTAGCTGAATGGTGTAGTGATAACACTACTGTCTTTGGCCTGACCAGGCTATGCATCCAGTCAGGGTCTCCAGGCTAGCCTATACTAACCACATACCAACGGGAAGCAGGCAACTGGAGCATGGAGTGAGTTTAAATCAGGTAGAAGTCTTTTTCAGTCGTGTAGGAGGAGGTGAGCGACTTTTCCCTGATGTCTTGCGGGTGAGAAAGTTGCGTTAACCAAACCCCTCTCTGTGTGGATTGTGCAGCGAGACGTGGAATGGCAGCAAAGCATCGCTAAGCACCAGAGAAACGACCTCCTGCAGATGAGCAAACATGCCACGTATCGCCTTCCACTATCCACATAGCGATTATATGTCGCTGTGCTGTCTGGAGCTGCTCTTTGCTTGAATCAGGACAGGATTCAACACCTCGATTTACCATCATTAGTTTGTTTTCACACAAATGATTTTATTCTAGCTCCCCCACGGACTCGCACACTGATTTTCAGCTTTGCGACATCATCACGACTCAAGCGCAATGATCAATTAGGCAGAATACACCAAATAAACTTAATTCAATCCCAGCAACGAGATTGTGTAATGAGCAAGATCCTAATCAGCTGTTCCTCCTCCGTCTCACTTCTCACTAACAGAATTCGGTGCAGTTTTCCACCCACAGACACTTTGGAGGCGACCAGAATGTTTCATCACTTGCTCACTCACTTGCATGGGCAATAATTCAAAAGTGATTTTTACAATGTTAACAGCCTCACAGTCATCTATGTGTCTGCAGATACATTTTAGTTCTCTTGATCGTGACCACAGTGTATATGAAGAATCTTCCTTTGTGACAGAGCGATATCCCACAATCTAAAGCAGTTCGGTTGCTGTTTTCAGACTGTTCTGACATCTTGAGCAACACCTGACCTTCCCCTTTAAAACCCCATGAATCTCATTGCAGTGGAGCACTTCAGAGCCCTGACCTGGGATATCAAACACACATACGCACATGGACCTTCAGCCACCTTCATCTTCAGTCATGCCACAGCTGACCTGCTAGCCTGTCCAGGCGGTGACCTGGATGAAGGTCAGCGGTGAATTATACATCACTATCTCACACAACACTAGGGGTCATCAAACATATGGTAGAAGAGCTGGGCTGGAAACTGGGAGAGAAAACAGAATAAACAAGCAAGCCAGGGAAGGATTAAAATAGTCTCTGTCCCCGGGGGGTAATCAGCCCACTGTTTCACCTTTTGAAGTTCACTTGAATTTTAAAGGCAGTTTGTAGCTTCCGCCTGCTTCTCCTCCTCCAACTCCTTTAAAATTCAGCAGATTAAAAGATTTACGACATGCTGCCAGCAGCTACCTCAAATACTGGCAGAGATAATTCCACTGAGGAAAAGACAAACACAACAAAATGCAGCGTTTGTTGCTAATTTAAATGTAGACATCCTGCCGTCAGACTGCAGACACACATATAACACAGGTCTACTCAATGAATGTTTAACCTACTCTGAACCCATTCATATAAAGCTGCCATCCTGCTTCTCATCACAAGCAGAGCCTCCTCTCTCCCGTGTAGTTGTAATGCAGTGCGCACGTTCGTTTGAACAGAGGCCTGCAGTTTGTCCTGTGTCCACTTCAAGCTTGGCTCCGTGGTAAAATGCCCCACTTCCACCATGGAGTTCTGATCCTGAGCATCCTGATATCTGTCTGCTAAGCTTCAGAGTCACTGACCTGCATGTCGCAAATTTGTTACTGTTGGTGGAGACTTTTGAAACACTTTTAAAGGAATTATCTGACAGATACTATGATCTTCCGTTTCTGCGTGTTGTATATTTGCAGCAAGCTACCGAACTGTGCGGTCTGAGCAAACCCTCATTGGTTAAGATTTTGGTAGGATAATGGGAACGAGGTGCCAGGATTTACTGAATAGAATAGAATAAAATGCCTTTATTGTCACTATACAGATGTACAATGAGATACAGAGCATCTCCTGCTCAGTGCAAATATCTAGACATCAGTTCTGCAGCACTTTGAAGCACTATTGAAACATGTGCAAACACACATGGAAGTACAATATATAAAGGCAATATTTGGTGAGAGTACTTTTAACATAGCATGAACTCTTTTAGACAAGCTTTCTTGGAATTTCTTTAAGTAGTCTCCAGGAATACGTCTCCAGGACACACTTCTTCAACAATGTTGCGGTTCAGGCTCTGGGAAGCTCGATCGAATGATAGAATTGCATTTTGTCCTTTTTTATCCAGGTATCCTTTTGCTGCACTGATCGTGTGTTTGGGATCATTGAAGTTGTCAAACACTTTCCAGATGGTATATCAAAGAGCATTAAAATCTGATGGTGCTTTTTAATGATCATAGTTCCATCAATTTTGACAAGACTACCAACACCACTGGTTGAACTGCAGCCTTAAACCATGGCACACACTCACTGTTGTACCTCCTGACTTCTTCCATGCATAATAACAATTTGAACCAAAAATCTGGATTCAACCTGCTGCCAATGATTTTCATTCCAGTTCTTGTGTAAACTGGCCTACCTCATCTGCCTGTTTCCCTTCCTCAAGAACGCCTCTTGATAACAACCTTTACACTGACAATTTCTAATGAGGATTCATTGAACCTCGTGACTATATGGATTACCGAAGGGCCAGATGAATCTCTCGGGTCTTGTGTCAGGTCTTTGCTGGATTTTTTCCTTAATTCTTAAAGACATGACCTTGAGTTACTCTTCGCCTGCCACTTCCAGTTTCCTAAGATATGTCAAGTTTTCAGCTAGTAGTCCTTTAGGAATCACCTTGTTGGTGTAAAAACTTTAGTTTGTGCCTGTCAAACTGTGTTATGATGCTATAGATTCAATTAAAGATATGTGAATAAATTATGTATTTTTGTCATTGGCTGATAAAATTACCTCTTTGCTAAGTTGTCAGTTATGTGAGGATGCCACACAGAGCCTACGTTAAGCTTAAGTGGGCTGGAGATTCCTCTAGAAGTGGTCAGATACAAGAACTGGGCTGATAATGAGGGAAGAAGCAGCCAGTATCCAAAGGAATACTTTG